GAGGGTAGAGACAGAGACATCGATGTGAGAGACACATTGATCAGTTGCCTCCTGCATGCAACCCAACCAGGGCTGGGGGTCAATCTTGCAACCCAGACATGTGCCCTTGGCTGAGAATCAAACCTGGGACCCTTCAGTGCACAGGCCGACACTCTAACCACGGAACCACTTAGGCAAGGGCAGTATTTTTGTATTCTTAGAATAAATATCCAGAAGTAGAATAGCTGGATAATATAATAGTTCTATTCTTAATTTTTTGAGGAATCTTCATACTGTTGTGTGTGTGTCCATAGTACCTGCACCAATTTGCAGTCTTACTAACAGCATATGAGGGTTAACCTTTTCTTCCACATCCTCTCCAATACTTGTTATTTTGTATTTTTTTATAATAGTCATTCTAATAGATGTGAGGTGATATCTTATTGTGGTTTTGACTGTATTTCCCTAATAATTAGTGATATTGAACATGTTTTCTGTGCCTGTTGGCTATCAGTATATCTTTGGTAAAATGTCTATTCAGATTTTCTGCCCATTTTTTAAGGGGGTGTTTTGTTGTTGAGCTGTGTGAGTTTTTAAATACATTTTATATATTAACACCTTTGCATATATATGATTTGCAGGTGTAGTCCCATTTGTTTATTGTTTTTATTTAGCTTTTGTTTGGAGTGAGAGCCACAAAAACATTGCTAAGGCCAGTGTTAAGGTGCTTACTGCCTATATATTCTTCCAGGATTTTTATGGTTTTACATTCAAGTCTTTAATTCATTTAGAGTGAGTTTTCACATACAGTGTAAAATAGTGGTCTAGTTTCATTGTTTTGCATGTGGTTGTCCAATTTTTCCAACACCATTTATTAAAGAGACTGTTCTTTCTTTATTATATGTTCTTGGCTCCTTTGTCATAAATTAGTTGCATATATATGGGTTTATTTATGGCTCAATTCTGTTCCATTGGTCTGTGTATCATATGTGTCAGTATCATATACTGTTTTGCTTACTGTTGCTTTGTAGTATAGTTTGAAATCAGGGATCATGATACCTCCTGCTTTGTTTTTTCTTTCTCATGATTGGTTTGGCTATTCAGGGTCTTCTGTAGTTCCATAAAAATTTTAGAATTGTTTGTATTAGTTCTATGAAATATGCCATTGGAAGTTGGATAGGGATACCATTAAATTTGCTGATAGCTTTGGATAGTGTTGACATTTTAATGATATTCTTCAAATTCATTTATTGTGCTTCAGTTTCTTTCATCAGTGTCTTATTGTACAGGTCTTTCACTGCCTTGGTTAAATTTATCCCTAGGTATTTTTTTTTATGCAGTTGTAAATGGGAATGTTTTCTTAATTTATCTTTCTGATAGTTATCAGTGTATAGAAATGTCACAAAATTCTGTATGTTGATTCTGTATCCTGCAATTTTACTGAGTTCATTTATTATAACAGTTTTTTGATGAAGTCTTTAGGGTTTTCTATATATAGTTGTTACATCATCTGCAAATACAGTTTTACTTCTTCCTTTCTGATTTCTATGCCTTTAATTTCTTTTTCTTGTCTAATTGCTTTGACTAGGACTTCCAACACTATCCTTACTAATAAAAGGCTAAGTAGTCATCATGCCTTCACGTGTGATGCTCTCATGCTGTCACAAGATGGCTACGTGCACAGTGGAGGTGGGACCCCCAGCTCCAGGCTACCTCTTTGGGGCAATCTATCGAGGAGCCTTGGATGGGTGGGTGGGGCCTACCTCTTTGGGGTGATCGATCACGGGACTCCCGCACTGTGAGAGGGCACAGGCCAGGCTGCCCCCCACCCCCGTGCACGAATTTCATGCACCAGGCCTCTAGTGTTGAATAAAAGTGGTGAGAGTGTGCATCCTTGTATTGTCCTGATCTTAGAGGAAAAGCTTTCAGCTTTTCACCATTGAGTGCATTAGCTGTGGTTTGTTATATATGACCTTTATTAAATTGACATAATTTTCCTATGTGTATTCACTTTGTTGAGAATTTTTAATAGTAAATGGATGTTGAATTTTGTCCAATGCTTTTTCTGCATGGATTGAGATGATTACGTGATTTTTATTCTTCATTTTGTTCATGTCATGTATCCTGTTGATTGATTTATGGATGTTGAACCATCCTTGCATACCAGGAATTAGTCTCTCTTGATTGTGGTCTAGGATCCTTTTAGTGTATTATTGAATTTGGTTTGCTAATATTTTGTTGAGGATTTTGCATTCATGATCATCAAGGATGTTGGCCTGTACTTTTCTTTTTTTATGGTGTCCTTGTTTGGTTTTGGTATAGGAAATGCTGGCCTTGTAAAATGTGTTTGGAAGAGTTCCTTTCTATTCAGTTTTTTAAGAGTTGGAGAGGGATAGGTATTAAATCTTTGAATATTCAGAAGAATTCATCAGTGAAACCATGTGGTCCCCAATTTTTATTTGTTATGAGGTTCTGGTTATTGATCCAGTCCTCTTACTAGTAATTGGTCTATTTAGGTTTTCCTTTTCTTCATGATTCAATCAGGAAAATTGTATGTTTTTAGGAATTTATACTAGGTTGCCCAATTTGTTGGTATATAATAGTTCATAGTAGTCCATTAAGATCTTTTGTATTTCTATGGTATCAGTTGTAACAACTCTTACATTTTGGACTTGAGCCCTTCTTTTTTTCTTGGTTAGTCTAGCTAAGATTTTGTTGATTTTTGTTTATCTTTTCAGATAACCAGGTCTTCGTTTCATTGATCTTCTTTTTTTGTTTTTTTAGTCTCTTTCATTTATTTTTTCTTTGGTCTTTATTATTTCCTTACTTCTACTAACTTTGGGCTCCTTTAGATGTAAACTTAGTTTATTTGAGATTTTTCTTGTTTCTTGATTTAGGCCTATATTGTGAACTTCCCTTTTAGAACTGCTTTTGCTCCATCCCTTAGATTTTGATATGTCATATTTCTGTTTTCATTTCTCTCTGTAATTTTTTCTTTTGATTTCTTTGATGATAAATTGGTTGTCTATTAGCATGCTCTTTAATATCCAGTTTTTTGTGATTTTTCTGGTTATCATCTTATAATTAATTTTTTTTTTTTACAAGGCAAATTTACTCCTGAAGGAAGGTACACATGCACAGGATCTTGCTACACTGCACACTGAGCTGGTGGTCCGCTCAGGGTTTTATGTCTGCATTGTCATCTGTCCCTTACTCTTGATTGGTGAGAGCTTAGGCTCACAGTCTTGCGTGATTGGCTAATTTAAAGAATAAGGGAGGGGTTGACCTTTGCCATTTCAAAATGGTGGCCCCCAGGGGAGCTGCAAGTCATGCAAGACAAAATGGTGTCTGCCTAAATCCCTTCTTCTACAGAAAAGATCACTTGTTTATTCTCACAATTCTCCCCTCTTCTTATTTAACTCTTTTCTTCAAACTTGGCTAACGCTTGTTGACTTCCATGCTCTACAGCAGGGGTGGGCAAACTTTTTGACTCGAGGGCCACAATGGGTTCTTAAACTGGACCAGAGGGCTGGAACAAAAGCATGGATGGAGTGTTTGTGTGAACTAATATAAATTCAAAGTAAACATCATTACATAAAAGGGTACGGTCTTTTTTTTTTTTTAGTTTTATTCATTTCAAACGGGCCGGATTCGGCCCGCGGGCCGTAGTTTGCCCACGGCTGCTCTACAGTGTCTAGGAGAAGATTATTTTACTGTTTGGTCAATGTAGTTTCAATTAACCTTTGGATAAGACCTCTCATACATGGGATGAGATAACATCCCATTACTATAACTCCTAACCTGATTATCAAAGAGGTGAGCATGGGTACCATCATTCCCTTCCATTTTCTGAACCATTGCTCTAGTCCAGTGATGGCAAACCTTTTGAGCTTGGCATGTCAGCATTTTGAAAAACCCTAACTTAACTCTGGTGCTGTGTCACATATAGAAATTTTTTGATATTTGCAACCATAGTAAAACAAAGACTTATATTTTTGATATTTATTTTATATATTTAAATGCCATTTAACAAAGAAAAATCAACCAAAAAAATGAGTTCGCGTGTCACCTCTGACACACGTGTCATAGGTTCTCCATCACTGCTCTAGTCAATCGGAGAAAGGATTGGCAATTCCAGGATTCTCAGTTCACTCATTAGCTAGAGTTGTTAATCCCTGTAGTGCCTTAGTGACGGTTCGTTGTTGGGGGTGAATGTACAACATTGGCCCCTTCATTACACAAACTCCTTTTTCTGCCAGAATCGTATCCAAGGCCAACCTATTCTCCCACGTCATTCTGCTGGTGGCATGTAGCTGTTCAGCTATACCTTTAAGTGCATCTCAAGTACAGTTAACAAGCCTTTGCTGGTTATTGTAAATATAATTAATCTAACCTATATTCTTGTTTACAGTGGGCCCCCAGAACAGGACAGATTCAATTCCTGAAAGCAATCCGATTTCTAGACTTAAACTCCTTTGACACTCCTCCTGGAACCCCAGTGGGATTTGTGTAAATATCTGGACTCTCCTCTTCCTAGTGTCTGTTCCTTGCAAAAGGTTTATGATATGCGAACGTGAAAGGGATAACCAATTGTATCAGAGCGCAATTACACTCCATTTGCTGGGCAAGGCCACAAGTCAGGGTCCCCCATAACACCACCAGACATCAGCACGGGGTTTCGGCAGTGCAACATGATGGGCTTCTGAGGATACTCGGCCATTTACGCATCCGGATAAATTCCCCATAAACTCTGAGTACTGTTCCCCGTGCGTCCCCCCCCACCCGCCCCTGAGAGGTAGGAGGTATAGTTTATGTCAGAGGACGGGGCTGGATCATTTTGGGGGGGGTCCTTGCTCTTTACCTCTGTTGAATGGGAACAACAGGGAGAGAGTCTTACAGGAAGCGTTTCCCCAGGGGGTTTCCTTCTGATACAGGGCAAGCATATATTCCATCCCGTTACGGTCTGAGGTTCATCCGGTCCATCCGAATGGAAATGGGACCACTTGGGCTTCTCGCCTTACTGCCACACAAGTGTAGCTTCTCTTTTTAAAATTCTTTTTTATTTTTATTTTGCTGCTCTGTCTGGGTGTTTCATTGCTTTCTCTTCCTATTCACTGATTTTTACTTCTACTTCATCCAGTTTGCCATTGAACCCCTCTAGTGTATTTTCCAGTTCAGTTGTAATTTCTGTTTGGTCCTTTTTTATATTTTCTGTCTCTTAAAGTTTCATGTTCATCTGCAGTTCAGTGAGCAATTTTATGATTATTACTTTGAAGTCTTTGTCAGGTAGGTTGCTTATCTGTTAAATTAAGGTATTTTTTCTGGGTTAGTTTTGTTCTTTGGTTTGACCCATATTTGTTTCCTCATTTTGCCTGACTCCCTGTGTTTGTCTGTATGTATTAGGCAAAATAGTCCTGAAGGAGGGACCTTGTGTAGGAGATGATCTGTGGGACCCAGAGGCACAATCTCCTCTTGCTACCAGAGCCAGGTGCTCAAGGAATCGGGCCTAAACTGGCAGTCAGACATCCCTCTCACAAATCCGGCACTGCTGGCTCCCAACCCCTTGCCTGCCTGCCTGCCTGATTGCCCCTAACCATTTCTTCCTGCCAGCCTGATCACACCCTAACCACTCCCCTGCTGGCCTGATTGACACCTAACCACTTCCCTGCCAATCTGATCGATGCCTAACTGCTCCCCTGCCGACCCGGTTGCCTCCAACTTCCCTCCCCTGCTGGCCCAGTCGCCCCCAACTGCCCTCCCTTGCAGGCCTGGTCCCCCCCAACTGCCCTCCCCTGCAGACCTGGTCGCCTCCAACTGCTCTCCCTTCCTTGCAGGCCTGGTCGCCCCCACCTGCCCTCCCCTGCCGGCCATCTTGTGACCACATGGGGCAGCCATCTTATGTGAGGGCGTGACAGCCAATTTGCATATTACTTCTTTATTATATAGGACTGGATGCCCAGTGCACGAAATTCCTGCACCGGTAGGGTCCCTAACTGTTGCTGGCTGCCGGCCAGGGCCTCCCTTCCCTTGACTGCCACCACTGCCCCCTGGTGGTCTGTGCACATCTGACTCCCAGTTGGTTGAACTCCTGCCTGTGGGGACAATTTGCATATTAGCCTTTCATTATATAGGATTATATAGGATAGATGTTCTGCACCACACAGCTTAGCACTTAATTTTATGCTGTTCTTTTTGCAATTAAAGTATGTGTGTGTTGTAGACTTATCTCTCCCAGTAGAGGTCTGGGACCATGTTATACTACCTTAGTGATTCTAACAGTCCATTAAATACTTTGTTGTATATCATTTGTTTCTTCTCTACTCTCATAACTTTGTGATCAAGTTGTGTTGCTGCTAGTGCTTTTTTTACAATTTGATGGCTGACTTTTTTTTTAACATATATATTTATTGATTTCAGAGAGGGAGAGGGAGAGAGAGATAGAAACATCAATGATGAGAATCATTGATCGGCTGCCCCCTGGATGGCCCCCTACTGGGGATCGAGCCGAAACCTGGGCATGTGCCCTTGACCGGAATCGAACCCGGGACCCTTTAGTCCGCAGGTGACACTCTATCCACTGAGCCAAACCAGCCAGGGCGATGGCTGACGTTTTATTACAGAAATATTCAAACATATCCTAAAGTGGATGGAATTGTCTAATGAACCCTTATTGTCAGCAGTGATTATTTCTAGCACTAAACTTAATTTTTTGAACAGCTTTCTTATCTGAAATTCTGTGCTTAAATCTTTAAGGTGATTCGGGATGTGATAAATGTGCACATGGAAGAACTCAGTCATAATTGGCAAGAAGAGCAGGAAAAAGCAGAGGATGATGCTGAAAAGTATGTCATTGTGTTTATTGGTGAAAATATTCTCTTTTTGAACTCCTATAATCGTTTAAGTTTTAGTATTTGCAAGGGCATTAGTAGCACACTAGAATTCATCATTTACTCAGGATTATTACACCGGACTTCTAAAACATGTTATAAAAATGGTGTCTCTTTGCCCTCTTATATGACTTGTAAGATGACACATACTTATTTAGATACTGTATCATTGGTCGGATGCAGAACATTAACTTTAGGCTGGGGCACACTGAAGACCAGTGAAGAAAGCGAACTGATGAATGGTCCTGTCTGTTTCAGGAGAGAAGAAAGGCGATCAGCTTCAGTAGATTCCCGGCAGTCTGGTGGAAGCTATTTGGATGCTGAGTGTTCACGGCATAGAAGGGATCGGAGTAGGAGCCCACATAAACGAAAAAGAAATAAAGATAAAGATAAAAATTGGGAATCAAGAAGGAGGAAAGAGAGGTAAGTCTAATATTGTATTGTCCAACAGTGAATTGTTTACCTTAAGGTAGAGTTTCTTAAATAATGTGTAGGTAGACAGTTAATCGTGTTAAAAAGCTGTTTGCTTTTTTTTTTCCTGCTTCTTCCTTCCTCCCTTCAACTGTCCCTCTCTCTTTTTGTTTTCTTCCTTTGCTAATTCCTAAGGTGTAGGGTGTATAGTGT